CCCCAAAACCCCAAAACCCCAAAACCCCAAAACCCCGTCTTCTAATTTAGCAATTGAAAATAAATATGAATTCCGCGAATTACTGAGTTTGCCCAACTTGCAAATTTGATTATAACACAGGACTATGCTTACCAAAGTTCTTGCCATGTGACCATACTGCATGTGTGGGATGTCTGACTAGAGCGTTTATAAATGATTCTGAATTCGAATGCCAGATGTGTGGAGGTAATTCATCCAAAAACTTTATAGATCTGTTCAGACTACCAGACCCAGCCTTGCTAGATGTTGATAATGACACTATCAAGGTAATAGAAGCTATTCACCACGCCGAAGGAGCAAGGAAAGAGAGAAGCAATGTAACATTTCATCTAATCTGTAGTATTTTACTTCTCCCAGAGAAAACCGCATTAAAGGGCCACATACAGAAAAACCTATTCGCGATTTCAGAATTCCTTTCAGTGATCGAACCCAGACAGAGAGGGATCTCACACTTGAGAGCGACAACATGATGGAAGTTGATGGAGAAAGGCAAAGCAGGTACATTCCTATGCTCTTATTTTAGTGGCTCCTTCCATGACAAAAGGAAAGTAATCAGAGAACGATTCGAGCCCAGATATGAACCAACAAGCGGTTCCTTCCATAGACAGCGAACAGAGTATCACACTACCAAGAAGCAGAGCTTATTTAAAGAGAACAAGGAGCATTGGGTGAGAGAAAGGTACGAATTCTGGCTTAATTTTCACAGAGAATTCCCTATTGCAACTTCTAACAAGTTCAAAACACCTGCTCCGTCGAGAGGGTTCAAAGCTATCAGCCCTTTTTCAGCCAATCCTTTTAAAAAGGCTCAAGAAGGTAATCTATAATTTTTTTGAGGAATTCAAAATTTCTGTAGAAAATAAGGAAGAACAAGGAAGTCCAACAATCGAAAAATCAGCACAATGAGTCAGAAAGGGCTGTACCAAAGAAAGGAGGAGAAGAGATGGAGCACCAACAGGCAGTGTAAGCATTTAATCCAACAGCTTTAGTATATCAGCCAATATTGCAGTGATAAATGTAAGAGCATGGCTGAATCAGCCAATACCTATACTAAGCCAAAACCACAATCAGGGAATCCATTCAGAACTTAGTGACTCATCAAGACAGATGCTAATGAGCTGCTTTAGATAATTTGACGAAGAGCTCTAAAATTTAAAATTCCTAAAATATTCAATCCTTTAAACTGACTGAGGGGTTTTGGGGTTTTGGGGTTTTGGGG